TAGTTCTTGATTACTTTTTGATAAATAATTCGTTCTTATTGCGAAATAGGAGCACTATTTATCAATCTGTAATAAAAGACGTGAGGAAATTCTGTTTTTTTTAAAGATAAAAATTTTTGAGGCGAAAAACCCAAAAAGAAGTTTGTAAAAAATTTAAAGGAACTTTAAAAATCTTCAGAGCGATGGGCGGCGAATTTTCCAAATATATTTTTTTTAACTTTTGCTGTCTGGTCGTTTTCAGTTTTGGAGAAAACCATTATTGGTTTTGTCATTTTTTTTTACAAAGATATAAATTTATCTTGTAATTTTTCGCGTAAAAGACCTCCAGATCGTTAGTATTTTTTAAGTGAAAGTCCACAAAATAGAGCGGTTTTGAGTCAAAAATCAGTCAAAACTAAAAAATCACATTTTTTTAACAAGCCTTTTATGAACAAGTCTTCATAGGAATGGAATTTCGCTGATTCTGTTCGTTTTTTGATCGAAAATTATTTAATTATTGTCCCAAGTTCGAAGCTGGAAAGGGATTTCAAAATTTTTACAAAGCGACGAAGGAGACGAGTGTTCTAATAAAAATTATTTCATAATTTTTCGCGAAAAATACCTTAAGATTGTCAGTATTGTTAAGTCGAAAATTGAGCATTTAGAAAAAAGTGTAACTTTCCTAAAACTGAAGGAATGTTAAAAATATTATTGCTAAATGGCCCTTAAAATAAATCTATAAAAAAGTCATCAACATTTTCCCAGCAACGGAACTGAATTACTGTGCCGGTGCGTTGTGTTGGCGCACCTAAACTCACTGAGTTACCCAGGCCTATTTAAAACCGCTCTTAGTTAGACTCATATTTAGAGAACTGAATGAGCCACTAAAATGTCACTTTTATTGAAGGATAAAGCCTTAAATGTCCACTTTTTGGTACTAAACATCGTGTTAGAAGTCCTTCCAGTTGAATGATTTCTGCAATAGTTTGAAAATTCACTACACTTTAGAGGCGTGATCTCTATGTAAAGATTTACTTTATTCCCATTGTTGTACAAGGGCCGTTGCATAAAGAGCACAGACACTTGATCCAGCCGATTCTAAACGCGAATTTCTCCAAGGACAGTGTTGCAGTGGTTCAAAAGCACGCGGATCGATGCATGGACATTCTGGAGGCCAGAGTGGACCAAGGGGTGTTCGATGTAGAAAGTGCCATTCACCAGTGCATGATCGATGCCAATCAAGGTTTGCTACAGTTTCACGAAATGATTTATGCTGGTGCTTGAGAAGTTTTGCGTGATTCGGCAGAATTGATCCTGGGAAGCAAGCGAAGCAGCCAACTTGAAGGGTACAGTGAGTTTGATCTAGCGCTGAAAAAGTGAGTTTTTCTGAAGTCGTTCTTCACTAGTTCTAGTCGGATTTCTTCATTCGCAGCATGTATAACTTGGCCTTCACCCGCCTGGTCAAACCCTATCTTCAGCCAGAGCTGATCTTTAATCTCACTCCCTACAAAAGGCGCCAGGACCACATGCTGCAGACAGTCAAAAGCTTCGTCAAACAGGTAGAGATTCTATATGTAATCATTTTCTCTTGTCTATCAGACATTTTCTTGCAGTTAGTCCGAGATTCGACGGAGAGAAGAAAGCACTCCTGTCCTTCTGGCGATTTTTACCCAATTGTTGACAGAATGGCGGACGTTAGCGAAGAAAACCCGCAGATTATCAGCGACGAGGTGTTTGAGGACCATATCCTTACCTTGTACGCTGCGGTAAGTTCGGTAATTTAACGGCTCGAGTGGAGTTAAACTTTCCAAAGTTAGGCAGAGGACCCTTCGACTATAACCTGCTCTTTCCTAGCTGTGTGCTTTGGGCTGTACCCGCAACATCAGGTAAGGTTGTACTTTTTTAGTAGCGTGAGCTGGTAAGGCTGCTTATAGGAAAAGGCCGCAAGGGAAATTAGGGAAGTTTTCGGAGACACTCCCCGAGCGGCATCTTGGGACTCCCTTAACAGACTGCAGTACTTGGACATGTGCATTAAGGAAGTTTTACGGCTGTTCCCGATCGGCCCCATTATCCTCCGGAAGTGCACTGCTGATTTCCGTCTTGGTGAGTTCAATTGGGCTACTTTTATGTTTTTCCTATTAGCTAAGGCTCTCTTGAAACATTTATAGATGAAAAGTGGCTGATTCCGAACGACTGCGGCATCGCCCTGCCAATTTTTACCATCCACCGAGATGCCAGATATTGGTCGCATCCAGACCATTTCCACCCCGACCATTTCCTGCCTGAAGCGGCCAATGGGAGGCACGTATACGCTTATTTGCCATTCAGCGCCGGTTCCAGAGGATGCATAGGTGCCACAGTTCCTCTTTAGCACCGGATTTCTATATTCAAAAGATGCGCTGTTTCAGGCAAACTATTGGCCAACACCCTGATCAAGGTATTCATCTGCAATTTGCTGCAGCGCTTTGAAATAGAGACGCCGGGCACTTTAGCTGAGTTGCAGCTGAAGATGGACATATCCACGCGTCCGAAACGTGGCTACCACTTGAAGTTGAAAAGGAGAGTGTGGAAATAGTCACAGTCAAAATATCGTATATTTAATAATAAATAAGCGAACTGTTCGGGCTGAGAGTTTCGTAATCAAAACCAGTGAAAAATTCGGGTGTTTATCAACACAGCCATCCAGTTTTCGCAGTTTCTACCTAAATTGTTTTTATGATCGGGATTGTTGTAATGAAAAATTTCCCAAAAACAAGCGATCTTATCATGTATAAATTCATCAAAGTTTATTTAAGTAAACAAGACACAGGACAGTCACAACAGGACAAAACGTAGAATTTAAAAGTTATTCGCCTCCTCACTCCTTATCCGCATGTATCCCAACTGCCTCTGAAAAGCTCCCGTTTTAGGCCTGAATGCGCGGAGTATATGCAGGCTGATCTTCCGAAACTGTCCTTTGTCCTTTGGGCTGTACAGTGGCTGTTGGCTGTCCGAACTCTGAACAGCCGCAGGACTGTTGTCCTCAAACAGTTGCTGCCCCACAGTCTTGTCCTCACATGTTTTTATCACGTTCTGGCAGCTAACGCTGCACACATCCGGAAACTTTATGTAGCTGATGTCGCTCTCAGACGACTGGTTTTTCGGCGTGCTGGCCTTTACTGACATGAACCTGGACAACAAAGAGCCTGCACGAGCTTAGAAGAGCTGTCCCAGCTGGCACTTACCAGGCTTGCCAATTTGGTTGAATTCCTCCCGTTTGAAGCTTTCGTAGTCGTCGTAAATGTAGGCGTCTTCGACTTTCTGAACGGTGCGTTTTGTTTCCTCAACAATGCTTTGCCAGCTTTGGGACTTCTCTTCATCTAGGAGGCTCCTGAAGGAGAAGTCTTGCGCTGTGTAGAAATGCGTCTCTAAATTTGCACAATCGTCGTCCACAAAGGCCAGTCTATATAGTTCGTTGTTAGTGTCTTGCTCTGCTGGATAAGGGTCTTTGCTCAGAGTTTGGCAGCCGATCTCCTTAACGCTGGTGTTGGCTGGATAAATGGGTTTATAGCATTCCAGATTTTGATCAGTGGCAATGCAATACATGGCGATTTTGTTCCATCGTACAATCAGGTAGAGCAGGAATGGCTGGAAGCGGTCCTTCAAGGGGCCGGTTTGAAACAAGTCAAAAAATTAATCGCCCATTACTCAATTAATATGAATATTCTCAATGCTACTTACCTGGTCTTTCCCTCCCGGCCAAAAGGGTCTCACAAACAGCGCCCCACTAAAATAACAAGACAAGGCCTTCAAGGAGGCTCTACTAAGAGAGGCCTTTCCTTCAGGTATTCGCTTCGCGGCCAACCTCCGGAGCAAGCATATCAACATTTTGATCAAGCGCAAGTTTTCCTGGGGCAATGCGTTTAGAAACCTGGAGGTCTGGTTTAGTCACAAAAGGGGCGACTAAGGGCGAATCGCTTACCTGGCAATTGCTGTGTCGAGACTGTCTCTGGCTAAGGAGTGGCACTTGAAAGCTCTGCGGCATCCAGTAGATAAGAGCAGCCAGTCAAAGTTGGCGCCTTTAGTGAAGCTGGGAAACAGCGGCAGAGGCAGCAGCCCCAAAAAGTGTCTAATCACCCACAAGTACGCTCCTGGGGCGCTGCTTTCCAGATGGCCGTTTGGGGAAAGCACCAGTTGATTCTTCAGCGTTAGTCGCTCTTCTATAGAGCCTTGGCCGCATCTGCGGAAGAGCAATGGGGTTGCGTAAAGGTCAATGACATTTCTCGATCAAAATTTGCTTTAGTTACCTCAAAACCCATTCGATATCGCCTTCCTGCTCTCTGTAGGTCTGCAGGGCTTTGGCAAAGAAATTCTGCAAAAAGGACCAGGGTTAGATAAAGGAAAAACGCAAAAACTTCATGGGATTCACCTGGAGCCTCGGATGTACGTAGCAAGCAGGAAAAACGTCTTCCAGAGGAACTCCGAATGCTAACCTGGAAATTCAAAGAGGCGACTGCAAATCTGGATGAGGCGAAACATGAAATACTCACCTGGCTGGAATGGGGCTCGGATAAGGGCTTCCCAGCCTCATCACGCGCTGTCACCCGCTTAAATGGCAGTTTAAACTTCTGATTTAAATGCCAGACCAAGCCGTTTTAGTTGGGCTCTAAAATGAACTCTACTAGTTGCGTTAATTTTCTGGCCGATCGCGAGATGGCCATCTATTGTTTCAGTCAGGAGCCATTTCGTCTAGCCGTTGCTCAGATATGTTAATATGCGCGAATCGTGACAGTTCTGCCACGGTAAACGGCGCGCAGTTTGAAAATTTTACTTAGCGCTGTGTCGTATTTTAGTAAAACGGATGGAAGCACATAAAAATTGAACTAAATACGTGCAATTCATTTAAATATGCTCCTTCAATCTGTTTTACAAAAATACCTCAGGGCGCTAGATGTAGATTTTTAAACTGCGCGCCATTCACCGGGGAGCTGGCAACATCTTGCGCATATCAAATATATGGGCTACCGCTAGACACGAATGCTTGACAGCCTTGCCTGAAAGGCTTTCATGTTTATGTTGTAAATTTATTGGAATTTTCTACACTTAATCGGTTTTCTGATTTTAATATTCTCGATATTTTCAATGAATCTGACTCTGTAGTTCAGCCCAGTCTGGTAAGTGTTCTATTCTCAAGTTACTTCGGAAAATTGAGGCCAATTGCGCTAACTATTGAATGCTTGATGGCTTTAAATAGTCTGGTTTATTTTAGCTTCGGTTTAGAATGGCCAGCCCGTCGCCGTCGAACAGCCCTATGCCTCCTCCACCGCAGACTCCCAGTCCCATGGGCATTCCGCCTTCACAGAGCCCGGCCCCTCCTTCGCCGGCTTCACAGGGCCCCTACGCTCAAGGACCGCCGCCCCAACAAGGTCCGCCTCAAAATCCGAGTAAGTGTCAGAAAATCAATTGCAAAGCTCCCAACTAGTTGGATGTTAAACGCAAAGGTCATCCACAATATGGGGTTTACGCCAATCATGGGCCTGACGGTCCTCCTTCACACGTGGGGCCTCATGGAATGCCTACGCCCCACCACCCCCAGCAGGGCTATCCGCCGCCTCAAAACCACCAAGGTGGGTTTTGGCTTATACTCTAAATAGTTGATCCTGTGAAGGATTATTTGTGTGTAGTTTGGCCCCCTCAGCATCAAAGCCACGGGCCAGCGCCACAACAGGGACATCTGGCGCCCCCTCAAGGCCACCCGGCCCAAAATGCGTCCCCCGGCCACCCACAGGTGAGTGTTTTGCACCGAAGTCTACATCTGGACTTTGGAACGGGATCTTTTTAACAGGGACATTTGCCGTCGCAGCAGCAGCCTCCTCAAGGATACTCTCCGCATCCTCAAAGCGGCCCGCCCGCTCAGTACCCGCAACATCCGGGAGGACCGCCTCCTCATGGCCTGCCTCCGCAGCACAGCGCTCAACATCCTGGTGGCCATGGAATGCCTCCTCAAAGTGCATATCAGGGACATCCAGGCTTCGCAGCGCCCAGCCGACAAGTAGGTGACTTTCCGCTGTCGCCTTAAGTTTTTACAATGTTTTATGTGTTTAGAATCCAACTTCACCAGGACCGCAACAGCCCCCTCCTTCTCAGATGGGTCAGGGCCTAAGACCTCCCATGCCCACCTCAGAAAATCTAAATGCTTTGCAGAAAGCCATCGATACTATGGAGGAAAAGGTACGGTAATTTAAAGTAAAAATATGAAATAAATACGTTTAAATGTCAACAAGCAACAGTTTACCTTAAAAAACCAAATATTTTGAATTTTACAGGGCATGCAAGACGACCAGAGGTACTCCCAGTTGCTTGCTCTACGGGCAAGAACGACCCAGGCTCAGAACAATTCCGTCCTGAATAACATCCAGATGGGACAGCTTCGCAACCAGATCATTGCTTACCGGTGTTTGGCTCGAAACCAGCCGATTCCTCATCCCGTGATGATGGCGCTGCAAGGAAAACGGCCGGATGGTTCTCCGCAGTTTCCCACGCCGCCCACAAGTCCTTTCCAGCAAGGTCAGCCCGGAGAACAACCGGCTCCAGCGGCTGAAGGGCCTGGTAAGTCTATCCTGAACGCCTTTTGTGCGATTCTAGCTCGAATTCTTATAGTCGCCGACGCTAACAAGCCGGGATCATCGCAGCAAAGGCCCCCTGGCGGCCAGCTAGTTCCAGCTAAACAATCGCGAATCACCACCATGCCGAAACCATGTGGAATCGACCCCATTGTCTTGCTGCAAGAGCGAGAAAATCGCGTTGCAGCCCGAATAGCAGCCAGAATTGAACAAGTTAGTCTAACAGACAACTAAATGTTGTTTTAGTTCAAAGTCTGCAATATTTTTTTATAGGTGAGCAATCTGCCGTCGGATATCAGCGAAAAGCTTCGACTGCAGGCCCAGATCGAGCTAAGAGCGCTGAGATGCCTGAACTTTCAACGACAACTACGGAGCGAGATTCTGAGCTGCATTAGGCGCGATACCACCTTGGAAACCGCCGTTAATATCAAGGCTTACAAGAGAACCAAACGACAAGGTTTGCGAGAGGCTCGCGCTACAGAAAAGTTGGAAAAGCAACAGAAGCTGGAGGCGGAGAGAAAGCGCAGGCAGAAGAACCAGGAGTTCCTCAACTCCGTCCTGCAGCATGCCAAGGAGTTCAAAGAGTTCCACAAGGTATGTTTCCTCATTTTCATTAAGTGCCACCCATTGTGAGTTGCTTTTTAATGGCTGTTTCTCAGGCGACACAAGCGAAGGTGGCCAAAGTGAATAAGGCGATATTGAACTACCACGCCAACGCCGAAAGGGAGCAAAAGAAGGAGCAGGAGAGAATCGAAAAGGAGCGAATGAGAAGGTAAGGAGTAAAAATATGCGAAGTTTCGCTGCGACTTATCGGGGTGTTTCACTCTGGCAGATTAATGGCTGAAGATGAGGAAGGCTACCGCAAACTGATCGATCAGAAGAAAGACAAACGACTGGCCTTCTTGCTATCCCAAACCGACGAATACATTGCCAGTCTAACGGAAATGGTGCGTCAGCACAAGGAAGAACAAGCGCATAAGAAGAAGGAGGAAGAGCGCCGGAAGAAGCGCCAGCAGCGCATGCAGGAGCCCGACCGGAAGGTGACCGTCATGGAAATTGCCACGGGCAAAAAGCTGAAGGCCGAGAACGCTCCTACTTTCCGAGAACTACAAGAGTGGCTGAAAATTCACCCGGGCTATGAAATGGTCGATACAGACGATGAAGGTGCGCCAAAGTCCTCCCCATCACAAGATCGGCAAGTAATGTTGATTAATTGCAGATGAAGATGACTACAAAGAAGGTAAGACTCAGGAGGAGGAAGAGGAGGCGATGAAGATTATCAAAAAAGCCAAAGCAGAAGACGACGAATATCAAAGAAACGCCAAGGAGGAACAGACCTATTACTCAATAGCCCATACGGTGCATGAAATCGTTACGGAACAGGCCTCGATTTTGGTTAACGGCAAACTCAAGGAGTATCAAGTGAAAGGTGTGTTCTCACGTGAAACTTTCCAGCATTCAGTTGGTGTTGTTGCAGGTCTGGAGTGGATGGTGTCTTTGTACAACAACAACCTGAACGGGATTCTGGCCGATGAAATGGGGTTGGGAAAAACTATCCAAACCATTGCCTTGCTCACCTACCTAATGGAGAAAAAGAAAGTCAACGGCCCCTTCTTGATTATCGTCCCTCTTTCCACGATTTCAAATTGGATGCTGGAGTTCGAGAAATGGGGCCCATCAGTGCAGGTACTTTGCAGGTTACTCAAAAGTTTCTTCGAGGATTATGGATTAATTATGTACCAATGTTTAGGTTATAGCCTACAAAGGAACTCCAGGTGTAAGGCGCACAATCCAGGCTCAAATGCGGCAGGCAAAGTTCAACGTGCTTCTCACCACTTACGAGTACATTATCAAGGACAAAAGCGTGCTCTCCAAGGTCCCCTTCAAGTACATGATCATCGATGAAGGCCACAGGATGAAAAATCACCACTGCAAGCTAACGCAAGTGTTAAACACCCATTACTTGGCGCCCCATCGGCTGCTGCTGACCGGCACGCCGCTGCAAAACAAGCTTCCCGAACTGTGGGCGCTACTGAACTTCCTGCTGCCTTCCATCTTCAAGAGCTGCTCCACTTTTGAGCAATGGTTCAACGCCCCCTTTGCCACAACGGGAGAAAAGGTACGGATTGCTCTAAATCCGTCAGGCTGCGGCTGATTCAAGGACTTGTAGGTCGAGCTCAACGAGGAAGAGACCATTCTGATCATTCGTCGTCTGCACAAAGTGCTGCGCCCTTTCCTGCTAAGACGTCTGAAGAAGGAAGTCGAGTCTCAGTTGCCCGAAAAAGTGGAATATATCATCAAGTGCGACATGTCCGGATTGCAAAAAGTGCTCTATCAGCACATGCAGAGCAAGGGCGTTCTTTTAACGGATGGATCTGAGCGCGGACACGCTGCTAGAGGAAAAGGTAACATTCGGGAGTCTGTTTATAATCAACTACATTTTGATTGGAATGAAGCAAAAACTGCCATTTTATGATCAGAAGCGATGATCATAAAGAAACACTTGGTTTTACCACAGCTTATATATCACACAGCTAGGGCACTCGCCGTCGATTTGATCTCATGGTTTAAACCAACACTTGCTATCTTTCTCGCACGGGGTTTATTTGTCGAGTCCGGACTAAAAAGATTTCTATTATTGTAAATGAGCTTTTTTACTAAAATATTAAAATACAACCACACATCGATTTACTGATTGACTATTTAATATATATTGATTGGCCATTTACACAGGTTGTTCAAGATAACGATGCATTGTATGGGTATTTTCGAAACCGTAAGAGATAAGAAGTAGGTAAAATTAATTACTGACAAATACATTTTCCTATTATCAAAATGACAATCAACACTATTTGAGAAAACTCGAATAACTACATTAATCGAGGAAGGATGGTCAACTAAAACAGTAGCTGAGATTTGGAAAACGAAGAGCAAGGTTTATAGAGATTAATTAAATTGTCAAATTAAAACAAGTTTGTGTACTGTACTATACCAACTGTACATGGCATTTTCAAAAAAGAAATATTTATTTTACCTGAGATGGTTAGAAAAAGTGGTTTTTCGTTTTTGTTCATTTCGAATCATATAAAAAAACAAAAAAATACTTTCACATGGCACCGTTTCGAGAGCTACAAAAGGGTGTCTATGAAAATATATTACAACGAATTCTTTTCAACAACCATCATCAACTTTTGTTTTTCATATGGACCAAATAAAAGTGCATAACTGATATAGTAGCCCTTCTAATAGCGGATTATACAGGTTGATTCGAAATTGGCGTCATTCCTTTTAAACCCCTTAAAAGGAATGAATAGGGGCTCACTTGGAGAGTACGAGAAAAAAATTTAAATTTTATTTTTCGATAATTTCTAGAAGATTGAATTACAGTTGAAAATAAAATTTCAACTTTGTTATTAAGCATTATTTTGAAATTGCCCCATGTTTAATTGGTAGCATATTGGAATACTTTAGCAATAAAAAAGAAAAATTACGATCTTTGCTTCAAATTGCAAAAAAAATTATATTAAATAAGTTCTCACACAATTTTTTGAGGAAAAGTCATAGTAGCAATGATGTTTTGTTTCAGAACTTTCTATTTGGTAAATCAAAAACCAATGAAATAAGTACATTTTTGCTGACACGTAAATGTAAAAGAAAGTAATCATCACAGTAATACGATACTTAATTAACTGTGTTAAGAATGTTGAACCCTCTGAAAAAACTTAACGATTCAGTATCACATACATACGAGCGGTATACATATCTGGTATCGGATATATTTATTAATTACCCCATATAAGTAATTAATTTATTTTTATTGATATTTTTGAAATTGTTATCAACTATTTTAGAGAAAAATAAATTCTTACTATGAAAAACAGTTACTTCACAAAAGTTGAGGGAAAATATTTGTATGAATGATTAAAATATGTAACTTCTCATATTTGAAGAAATTTCATGCAAAAATCTCTTTGTGTGATACAGCTTTCATAATTGGTTTGAAAAATGAAACGTATTTATCGTATTTGCAATATACAACCCGATTTCACGCCAATGTGCTCTTTTTCGTCCAGAGGCGGGATTTACGGGCTGCGCGAGTAAAACGACGCGAAACCATGTTCCGATGGAGCTGTATGATATTTAAGCTGTGGTTTCACTTTTATGCAGGGACTTTGACGCACAGTGTATCCAAAAGTATATGACAAATTGAACTTGTCACTGTCATTATATGTTAATTAATAAGAGTGGCTTGCCAAATGTGAAGGTAGAAACAACCATACATACAAACTGATGATGGTGGAGAAAAACACCGAAACGTTTTTGTGACATTTTAAATGGTAAACAATAAAACTGACTGGAACCCAGGAATTTCTTTTGAATTAAGTTGAAATACAATCAGGAAAATATACACATTATATGTTAATTTAATTTAAAGTTTACTTACACTTTGTAAATTATAACTTTCTTATAAGTTCACTCACAAATTCGTTTTAATGGCAAATTTTTCTGCGTTAGCCATTGTTGCCACCCGCAGATCACAATCTTTTTAATGGCACAAATGCCATACAAAATATGCAACTTATAAAAATACCATTCAAATAGTGAAAGCAGGTGTTTTATGGTTGGAAGTTGAAACCAACATTTGCGGCATCTCTAATTCTGGTGGTTGACAAAACATTGAATTTTCATCTCTGATTGTTTTACTTACAAAAGCAGGCTTTTGAGAAATTACAAACGTCAAATCGTGACTTTGATTAATGGCATTGACATCAAATTTAAAATATGAAATCGATGCCTTTTATTTTTGGCTATTTTTTTATTATTTATTAGAACTTATTGTTCGTGTTCTGTCTTTCATTCGAATAAAAACTATTGTTCGATACGATACGAGGGCGAAACTCTATTTAACTGACTTAACTTAAGCTAAATTTTTAATAATCTGGAACTTCTCAGGTGGATCGAAAGCTCTGATGAACACAATCGTGCAGTTGCGAAAGCTCTGCAATCATCCCTTTATGTTCCAAAACATTGAGGAAAAGTACTGCGAACATGTGGGCGTGCCTGGCGGAATTATGTCGGGCCGAGACACTTTCAGGTAACTTATTCGCCCCCATTTCAATGGCCGCGTGTGTTCAACCCGTGTTTCCAGAGCTTCCGGTAAATTCGAGCTACTGGATCGCATCCTGCCAAAGCTGAAGCTCACCAATCATCGGGTGCTTCTTTTCTGTCAAATGACCCAGCTGATGACCATCATGGAAGACTATTTGAACTGGAGAGGGTTCAAGTACCTGCGATTGGACGGTACCATCAAGGCAGAAGACCGAGGCGATTTGCTGAAGAAGTTCAACGATAAGAACAGCGAGTATTTCCTGTTTTTGCTCTCTACTCGGGCGGGAGGTTTGGGTTTGAACCTGCAAACCGCCGACACTGTGGTGATCTTCGACTCCGATTGGAACCCTCATCAGGTAAGTCCAGGTGGGTAGTAGTTGGATCCGGTTTTCACTCAATTTTACAGGATCTGCAAGCTCAAGACCGCGCCCATCGGATAGGACAGCAAAACGAAGTACGCGTCTTGAGGCTGATGACCGTGAACTCGGTGGAAGAGCGGATTCTCGCTGCGGCCAAATACAAACTCACCATGGACGAAAAAGTCATCCAGGCCGGAATGTTCGATCAGAAGTCCACCGGGTCGGAGCGACAGCAGTTTTTGCACGCTATTTTGCACAACGATGGCACAGACGAAGAGGTAATTAAAACCGTTGTTGTCCATTTGCGCGCTAAACCAGTTGTCCTGGCAGGAGGAGAACGAGGTGCCCGATGACGAAACTGTTAACCAAATGGTAGCCAGGAATGAGGATGAGTTCCAGCTGTTCCAGAAAATGGATGTCGAGCGACGGGAGGAGGAAGAGCGAAACGGCATGATGAATAGGCTGATACAGGAAGAAGAGTTGCCTGACTGGCTGGTTAAGGTACTAAAATCGCGCTTTTTCCAGCGCTGTATTTTGGTTTAAGATTCCCTGAAGAGCCTCTGGAATCATTCGATCAGAGCGTTGAAGGACTAACCAAAATATGCTGAAACTGATATGCTCAAACATTTTGATATAAAAAAATCTGCAGGAAGACGACGAAGTCGACACCTGGAAGTTCGAAGAAGACGACGTAATATTAGGACGCGGTACCAGGCAAAGAAAAGAAGTGGATTATGCGGACAGCCTGACTGAGAAGGAATGGCTAAAGGCAATTGATGAAGACGGCGACTACGACGACGACGAAGAAGAGGAGGAGAAACTGAAGCAAAAGCGGCGCGGAAGAAAGCGCAGGAAGCGGGAGGAATCTGACGAAGATGAGCCTCCGCAGCGACGCAAACGGAAGGCCACTAGCATGGCGAGCGAGGTTAAGATGAAGCGAAAAATGAAGAAACTGATGAGCGTTGTAATCAACTATAACGACAGGTTTGCATATTAATCAACCCTCTAGGGGCTTCAAGTGGCACGTTTGAGATTTGCAGAGACGAGCGGCAGCTGAGCGACCAGTTCATGCGCCTGCCCAACCGCAAAGAGTACCCGGAGTACTACTCGATCATCAAAAAACCGATCGACATCAACAAGATCATGAACTACATTGAAGATGGAAAGGTACGAAGACTTTGTCCCAAGCATCGCTTTGCAGGGTTCTAATCAATTTTCTTGCAGTATTCCGACTTCAGCGATCTGGAGCGCGACTTTATGCTCCTGTGCCAAAACGCCCAGATCTTCAACGAGGAGGCTTCGATTATTCACGAAGACAGTATCGTGTTGCAGTCGGTAAGTCTGAAGATTTGGAAGATTGCAGGGCGAGGTTTCAATCGGCTCTTGTTCTAGGTGTTTTCAAACGCCCGATCTAAAATTGAAGGCGACAACTCTGACGATGAGGACAAGAACGATTCGGATGAGGACCCAGAGCCAACCCCGAAGAAGAAAAAGGAAAAAGAACCCAAGGAGAAAAGAAAACGCGGCAGACCAAAGCGAGTTGTGAAGAAATACGTATCGGACGACGACGACGACGATTAAAGTACATTCTATTCATTTAATGCTCGATTAATGTTTTTTATTTTGGCTAAAGCGGCAGGTTTTCAATGACCATTCCAATCGTAGGCCTTAGAGGAAGTTCCTAAGCCACTAAAGCCTGGTGTCGCCCAATTTAAGCCTTTTTGCGTTATTTATGATAGATTTTAGGTTCAGATCAAAGCAGATACGGGTGGGCCGATTAGGGGAAGGTCGCAGAAAAGTGGCCGCAAACTAAGGGTTGAGTAGCAGTTTTGAGCTTAATAGTTTTTTTCAGTTCAAGGATGTAGGTATTTTTTAAACCACTTTATAGTGCGCCACTTTATAGCGCAGGCCGCCCTGTATTTTACGAGTGCAACATTTTTTTCTTAGGTTTAGCTGATTTAGGAATTTGGTCGCCCATTGATTGCGGCTAAAACGCCAAGTCTCGTCTAACTCGACAGACTTGGCGTCAGGGCCGCCTTTTAGGGGCTAGTCGTAGTGGTTACAACCTTATTCTTGTATAACAGGCTTAGAATGTAGTTGCCCTTACGATCTAGTAGTAATAAAGGTATACGAATTGGGACAAACTGTTTTTTATACCTCTTCATGCTTGATAGTCTGGAAATATCGTCGATTAGACACTGTGAACGTTTATTTAAAAGAGAACTACTCTAGCACAGCAAAAGACTAAGTCGAAATTCGTATAAATCAAGATAAACATTGAGCGCCGACTTAGAACGAATCACACTCATGGCACCGAAAACAACGAACCGGTTGAAACAGTGGCTTGTCAGCATGAGACTTGTGAGCTTAACAACTAACAATTTTGAAACAAACCAATCCCAAATAACAACAATAACACAGTTTAGAAGTATTACGTACACGCAATTGGCGGGTTTTAGGTATCATTGTCCTCGTCATCTGAAGTGTATCGCTTGATGGCTTTGCGGCGCTTGGAGGGTTTCTTCCCTTTGAGTTTGATCTTCATTTTAACTGCGGTGTCCGCATCCGCTTTGCCCGCCTCTTCGTCCGCCTGCAACCAAAATCCAAAACAAATCGCGGAAAGCGGAACTTTTCGAGGCGTACTTCTTGCTGCTTGTCTTCGCCGTCAGTCTCGATTCTCGCCTTGGCATTGGTGAAGACCGATTGGAGCACTATGCTGTCTTCGTGGATCAGTGAGGCTTCTTCGTTGTAGATTTGCGCGTTTTGGCACAGCAGCATAAAGTCGCGCTCCAGATCGGCCATTTCCGTGTACTGAAAGCTGACCATCAGAACACAGAACAAACTGGCTATGTAGGGAGGATTTACTTTGGCATCTTCAATGCGAGTGATTATGCGCATGATATCCATGGGCTTTTTGATCACTTCGTAGTAGTCCGGGTAGTCTTTGCGAGGAGGCAACTTCATGAAGGGCTCGCTTAAGAGCCGCCCGTCACTGTCCGTGTATTTAGTCACGATAGTCATCAGTTTCTTCATTTGGCGCTTTAGTTTGTTCTCGTCCGGGAGTTTTCCTTTCAGTTTCTTTCTGCTACTCGGTCCTGCATCGCTGGAACAGCGGAACAGGAAACTTTCAAACTTTGCTCCTGCATTTAGCTAGGAAATACCTGTCTGAATCCTCCGCCTTTTTGCGTCGTTTGCCCCGTTTCCTCTTCTTGGGCTCATCGTCTTCCTCATCTTCCTCGTCGTCTGATTCGTCGATGGCCTGCAAAAGAGCGGAACTAAATGGCTTTAACAACAAAAGGCGCCAAACGCACCTTCATCCACTCCTTCTCCGTTAGACTGTCCGTGTAATCCACCTCTTTCCTCTGCCTGGATCCTCTGCCCATTATGACGTCGTTGTCGTCGTAGTTCCATGGATCCACCTTTGGACGTATTAATTAATAAGCGTCAAAAAGAAAGAGCGAGTTAACTTTACCTCGTCGTCCTCTTTCACCAGCCAATCGGGAAGTTCGGATTCAACAATGAGGCGTGGCTTCCTCGCCGCTCCCAATTTCGCGTCCTCCCGTCGCCGCTCCAAGTCCATCTTCTGGAACAGCTCAAACTCATCCACAGAGCGCGCCACCATCTGGTTCACGGTCTCATCATCAGGAACTTCGTTTTCTTCCTACGGGAAAACCACTTTAACAGCTTTTACCCGCCAGCGATCAGAGTTAGTACTTCTTCATCGTCGCCGTCTTGATGCAGAATAGTCTGTAGGAACTGCTGCCGCTCAGATCCGGTGGATTTTTGGTCGAACATTCCGGCCTGGATGACTTTCTCGTCCATGTTCAGCTTGTATCGGGCCGCGGCCAGAATTCGCTCTTCCACAGAGTTCACGGTCATCAGCCTCAAGACGCGCACCTCGTTCAGCTGCCCGATGCGGTGCGCTCTGTCTTGAGCTTGCAGGTCCTGGAAGACCCTTAAAGGTCAAAGCTCTGAAAAAGGTATCGGTTTTTCTGATATACCTGATGAGGGTTCCAATCGGAGTCAAAAATCACCACAGTGTCGGCGCTTTGCAAATTGAGCCCCAGACCTCCGGCCCGGGTGCTGAGGAGGAAGATGAAATACTCGCTGTTTTTTGCGTTGAATTTCTTGAGCAAATCGCCCCGATCTTCCGCTTTGGTGGTACCATCCAGTCTCAAGTAGCCGAAACCCCTGCACAGAAGTCAATCCATTTCTGTAGGCATTGAAGAATTTGTTCCGGTGATTCTAGTACCTGTAGGTCAGATAATCCTCCATAATGGTCATCAATTGGGTCATTTGACAGAACAACAGCACCCGATGATTGGTGGTTTTGAGCTTGGGCAAAATCCTGTCCAGAAGCTCGAACTTTCCAGAAGCCCGATAAATATCCGGGCTGCACATGACGCTGCACGAAAGGAAAAATGGTTGAGTGAACAGCAGCTGCATGCAAAGCGCGTTGCAGGCTCACTCACCCTGAAATCACTCCGCCAGCAATTCCTATGTGGTCGCACCACTTTTCCTCAATGTGCTGGAACATGAAGGGATGATTGCAAAGCTTCCTCAACTGCACAATGGTGTTCATCAAGGCCTTGGCGCCTCCTTTCCCTTTGTTGCCTCGCTCCGAACCGTCCGTTAGCAGCACCCCTTTGCTCTGCATATGCCTGCAATGAAACCTGCCAGTGAAAATCGAAAATTTTTCAGCCAGAAAATACACCTGTATAAAACCCTTTGCAGTCCCGACATGTCGCACTTGATGATATATTCGACTTTGTCGGGCAGCTGCGACTCCACCTCCTTCTTGAGTCGCCTGAGCAGGAAGGGTCTTAACACCTTGTGTAGGCGCCTGATGATCAAGATCGTCTCTTCTTCGTTCAACTCAACCTGAAACTCCTCCAGATTAGCTAATGAAGGAGGGCAAACAAGTTGGAAACCTTTTCCCCAGTGGTGGCAAACGGGGCATTGAACCACTGCTCGAAAGTACTGCAGCTTTTGAAGATCGACGGCAGCAGGAAGTTTAACAGCGCCCACAACTCAGGCAATTTGTTCTGCAGAGGAGTTCCAGTGAGCAGAAGCCGATGAGGCGCCATGTAGTGGGTGTTAAGCACTTGCGTCAGCTTGCAGTGGTGATTTTTCATTCGATGCCCCTCGTCGATTATCATGTATTTCCATTGCAGCTGAAAGCGAAGAAGTGAAGTTCAAGAAGACGTCTGCAGGACGAAGCAGGAGTCTCCAGACCTTGGCTAAAACTCCTTTATCCTTAATCACATACTCGTAGGTGGTGAGCAGCACGTTGAACTTAGTGGAGCGCATTTGGCTCTGGATCTGCCTCCGGCCGGCCGGAGAACCTTTGTAGGACACCACTATAACGGAAGGAGCCCATTTTTCGAACTCCAACACCCAATTGGACAAAGTACTGAAAAAAAAAATGTAATTTTAAAGTTAAATGCTTCACCAGTTCACCAGCTTCTTCAAAATACAGACAGAGGAAACCACTTACGAAAGAGGAACGATGATCAAAAAAGGCCCATTAACCTTTTTCTTTTCCATCAAATAAGTGATGAGCCCGATGGTCTGGATGGTTTTGCCCAGGCCCATCTCATCGGCCAGAATCCCGTTCAGGTTGTTGTTGTACAAAGAAACCAGCCACTCCAGACCTTTGATCTGGTACTCCTTCAGCTGGCCGTTGATCATGATGGAGGCTTGTTCAGTGACCATCTCGTGCACAGTGTGCGCAATGCCGTAGTAGCTCTGCTCTTCGCCGATCCGCTTGTGATACTCATCGTCCTCCACTTTGGCCTTTTTGATCAGCGCCTTTGCTTTGTCCTCCTCGGACTTCGGCTCCTGACCTGCTTTATGCTCTGGATTAGGCTTGGGTAACTCAATAAATTATTAGGAGTTGGCGCAGTGCAAATGGCTTGGTGCGCCAACGCAACGCACCGGCGCAGTAACCCGGTTCCGTTGCTGGGAAAATGTTGATGACTTTTTGAAACGCCCTATTTTGTAGAGTTTCACTTAAAAATACTGACAGTCTGGATGTCTTTTACTAAGGCTGTAAATTAAATCTAAGTATAGCTTCGTAGGAATTTTTGAAAAACTTCTTTCAACGTCGAATTCGGGACAATAACGAAAATAAATTTCTCCCGTTTTTCCCGAAAATCATTAACTTTAAATCATTAATTAAGATTTTCTCAAAAACCGAAAACAATCAAAAACGCAGAAAGATATAATTATCTGATGATTTTTTTTCTGGCAATAATGGGCTGTTTTCAGCCAAAAATAACAAATTTGATTTTGCCTCATTCATCGCTTGCAGAGAATCTTTAGAAACCCTTTTTCAGCTTCTAATTGAGTACAAAAACCAAATAATTTTATTCAGTTTTTTACTGAAAGTAATTAAGATTATCTTGAAAAAAACTGCCAAAGAGCAAGTTTTCAAAAAAATATTTGGAAAATTCCTCACCCTCATCACTGAAAATTTTTTAGCTTTCTTCCGGATTTTCCGGATTTTCCCATATTGTTTCCCAATAGTTTCAAGCAATCGTATGCGCAAAAGCAATATGTCGACGGCTTTTTTGTTAGATGTTAAAATTCCCTCATCGGTCATGAATTATAACTCATTAACCAATGAGTTAAAACTCATTTCAGCGACATCAACTCAAAAGCGCAACTCAACACAGTGTTACTCAGGTCTACTCTGGATCGTTCCTATGCTCAGCAATGGACGCTCACTTACCTGGATAGTCGTCGTCGTCTTCGTCGTCAGTGTCTGCGATTTCCCAGCCGGGGTTCTGCTGCAGCCAGGCCTGCAGTTGACTCAGCAACGGCGCTTCGTCTCCGCCTAGTTTCTTGCCGCTGCTCACCTCCACCACTGTGATTGGTTTGTCTGAGTCCTGACTGCCCTCGTCGTCGCCAATCAGCACGCCTTCGGCGGCCAGTCGTTTTCTTTTCCTCTGTTGACAGTTCCTTCAGCAGCAGGTCGGAGCTTTAAAGTTTAGGTACCTTTTTGCGTCGTTCTTCCTCGTGCTGCTTCTTGCGCTGCTCGATCTTGTGCTGCTTCACCATCTCGGTCAGGCTGGCGATGTACTCGTCGGTCTGCGACAGCAGAAAAGCCAGCCGCTTGTCCTTCTTCTGGTCGATCAGCTTGCGGTAGCCTTCTTCATCTTCCGCCATTAGTCTGCGTGGACAATAACTCCATTGAAGCATCTCTTGGGGACTTCATGGCAAAACCCTCACCTCCTCATGCGCTCCTTCTCGATCCTCTCCTGCTCCTTCTTCTGCTCCCTTTCGGCATTGGCGTGGTAGTTCAAGATGGCCTTGTTGAGCTTGCCAACTCTTCCCAGACTGTTGCGATGGAAGTCCTTGAAGTCCTTCCCATGTTGTAGGATGGAGTTGAGAAACTCCTGGTGCTTTTGGCGGCGCTTGCGCTCCGCCTCCAGTTTTTGCTGCTTTTCCAGCTTTTCCGTGGCTCGCGCTTCGCGCAAGCCTTGGCGCTTGGTTCGCTTGTAAGCCTGCTCGAAAAACGCTAGTGAAAAACCGCTTTCTTAGGCCTTTTAGCAGGCACCTTCATGTTCACGGCCGTTTCCAGCGTGGTGTCGCGTCGCGTACAGGCGATTATTTCGGTCCGCAGCTGACGCTGGAAATTCAGGCATCTGAGCGCTCTGAGCTCGATTTGAGCCTGCAGTCTCAGCTCTTCCGTCATGTCCGAGGGCAGGTTGGCCAGCTGTTCCATGCGAGCTGCTATGCGAGCCGCCACCCTTAAGGAAAAATTGGAAATTACGCAAGTTTTTCGCAGGAGTTGTGGTTGGGTACCGATTCTCCCGTTCCTGCAGGAGCATGATCGGGTCCAGGCCTACTGGCTTGGGCACGGTGGTGGTTCTCGCCTGTTTCAGGTGCTGGATGCCTCCCACTGGTCTGGGTTGCTGCTGCGGCTGCTGCTTGTATAGCTAAATACGCATTTGTATCCAGTTTTCCACCAAAAAAACCCGACTGAGCTTACCTGTGAGGGTGGAGGTTGCTGGTAACCCCCCGGATGGGGATGAGGCTGCATAGGCGGTCTCATGGGTTGCGCTTGGGGCGGCATGGTAATGGACGGTGAGAGTTCCGGCGCCTCCAAAGGATCCCTTGGGCAATCCTACAAAATTACTCATTTTCAAGCGCTGCCTACTCTTTTTCATGGGCTGCAGCACCAACCTGTCCGCCAGGAGGCGGAGTGGAGGCCTGCAAAGGGGACCCATCCGGCCGCTTGCCCTGGATGGCCATCAGAATCTGTTGCGGCACTGGCTGGTTCCTGGCCAGGTATCGGTAGGCCATTATCTGGTTCCTACACCAATCAAACAAACAAGTCAAGAGCGGGATCGAGCTGTTCCAACCCCCACCTTAGCTGGGTCATCTGGATCTGGGACAGGGCGGGCGTCCCATTGGCGCGCGCTCGCAACGCCAACAGTTGTGAGTATCTTGGATCCTCTTGCATCCCTTTCTCGTCCATTGAGTCGATGGCTGATTGCAAGGCTCGCAGATTATCCTGTCCTTGTTGCAGCCCCTGGACGGAACCTGGGGCAAGAGAGACAGTAAATCGTCACGCCCACTTTATACAAGGTTGTCAACAATATCACCTGAAGAAGGCTGATGAGTAGGCGATGGATGACCTTGCGAAGGGGGGCCCGGTGGCATGTGACCTTGAGGCGACAAGTGAGGAGGCGGATGTAGCTGACCTTGGCCTTGGGGCGGCATGAGATGCTGCCCTTGAGGCGAGGAGCGCCCCTGGCCTTGGATGGGCGGCATGTGGCCGCCCATGGGGTGGCTTGGAGGCGGCGGGTGTTGCCCAGGCGGTCCAGGCGAGGGCGAGCTCTGCAAAACCAGTCCTTTGAAGGCCTTTTGCAGCCTTTTAGACCTCTTACCATGCTGTTTCCACAACAATTTTGTAACCTAACTTGAGTAGAACAATAGCGCGCAGCCTTATCTCTGCAAGCGCGCCGTGATAAGGCGATGGAAGTGCGCTTATCTTGCGGTTTGTTGAATAACGTAGGTACATAAAGGCGATTGCAGTTTAATTCCCAAAGCATTAAGAAGGTGATTGTTGTCTAGAGGATCAACCACACGTTCCCTTGCTTCATGCAACTACGCTCAAGGTGTTAAGTTGGGAGGCAGCCACATTGTCCTCACAACAATGAGGCCGAGAATAAGCAATTATCTCAACTGATTAAATTATACTGTGACTTCCTGTTCATTTAGATAGTTTCTGTTCTTCACAGTTTTTTTTGTCACGGAGTCAAAAATTACAAAACAATAGTCTGCTAATGCCGCCTATTAGCGCTGGCCAATGTTCCAAAATACTGGGTGTCCCAAGTAGAGGAAATAACTAACTACAGCGCCACACATTGTCCTAATATCCTTCCCCCAAATGCCCCATTCTTTTGCTATTCTAAGGGTTTCTGCGCCGTTAATTTTTCCAATTAGCGTTGTTAAGTACCGCCACTAACTAATTGGAAAGGAAATTTTATGACGCAGCAGCCAAACCCGTTCCCAAGAAGCTACAGGTGCTATAAAAGAGTCGAGATGCTGGTGCGGGCGGTAAAGTGAAGCCAAAAATCATCCGGTTGGTTCAAGAACCTGAGCGATAATGAGTGAGAGTGCGATCAAACACCACCAGCCTTTGGAGTTCGATTCAAAGTTGGTGAGTCTAAAAGCCTAAAAATGCTGCACAAGAAATAGGTAAAAAAAAGTAAATGTGCAGCCTTGGACGGATTATTTGCTGCCTGTTATAGACCGGCGTTTAGCAACAATTAGCTGAAAGACAATGGAAATGTTTGCTAATATAAAGCGCATTGATTAAATGTTGGTTCTTCGTCAAGATGCACTGTCTGGACAAAAATGGCAATAAAGCCCTTAAGGTTGAAGTGAACTTGAGCGCTTGGGGCACGCCACTGTGCAAGCCCAAGCATTGCCAACACTCCCTAGCTGGGCGAGGGTTTCCCAAAGGTTCCTACTCTTCCTAACTAATTTTCGGCAGTTTGCGTCATTGAGTAAACATACATTGTTTAACCATGCAACCATCAGATAACAATCGTGCCGGAGCCTTGACAAACATGGCCCATTTGTATTTTTTCTTGCACGCTTAATTTGACTTTCGTCTACCAGACTTAGGCCTGGGTAAACATGAGGCCCGTATAAAAATCGCCTCATTTATCTTAAACAGGAGCAGTGCGGACTTAACTGTAAAAACAGCGAGTTGAACAGCAGAAAAATGGTGGAAGTGCAGGAGTACTACGATTTCATCCTGCCTCTGGTGCTGGAGGCTGGCAAAGTAAGTGAGTCGCTCACTCACCGAAAAGTGAGTCAGTCTTCCAACTTCTGATATTAATCAGGTGATGGCCGAGGTGGAGGAGGTAGAGGTGGAGTTCAAGCAGGACATTGTCTGGGACCTGGTGACCATTTACGACCGCAAGATCGAAGAGGTTTTGATCAATAAAATCAAGGAGAAATACCCCCAGCACAAGTGAGTCATTCATCCTCTCGCCTACTCAGAATGACCACCTCCCTTCAGGTACATCGGAGAGGAGGAGACGGCCAAGAGCGGCCACACTGCAAAGCTGACCGACTCCCCGACTTGGATCATCGATCCCATTGATGGGACCGCAAACTTTGTGAGAAGGATGCCACTCACTGCCATTTCCGTGGGCCTAACCATCAACCAAGTGCAGGTGTTGGGGATCATCTACGATCCCTACAAGAAGGAATTGTTCACCGCGATTAAAGGCAAAGGAGCCTATTTGAATGGCAAACGAATATCCACCAGTGGATGCAAAGGTGAGCATCTATAGAACAATATACAGGGTGGTGGGGGAAATCCAATTGTTTTTGGCTGAAACTAATGATGATTTGGACTCCTCTGGTGGAGATTGGTAAGCAATCTATTTATTAGCTCCGTAAATTTCCAGTCATCGAAAAATCAGTGATGAGCTACGAGATCAGCATAGCCAGACGCAACGACTACTACTACAACTTGTACATGTTTCGGATGAAGCACCTGATCAGACGCATTCAAGGGTAAAGGCTTTCAGCCCCTTAAACATCTCAGAGAAAAAGGGAAAGCTTTTTTAGATTCCGCTCTTTAGGCACGGCCGTTTTGGGACTCTGTTATGTCGCGTGCGGAAGACTGGACGCCTACCAATGCGATGGACTCTACCCATGGGACGCCGCTGCTGGAACCCTCATTGTCATTGAAGCTGGCGGACATGTGGTGGATTCAGCTGGTATTTCCACCAAACCCCGTGCAAACTCCCCATTTAAAGCCCGTTGATTTCATTAGGAAAGGAATTTGACTTGATGGACCCCAATTTTCTGGCCTCGGCCTCCAAGCCGCTGTCCGATGAGTACATGGAGCTGGAACGTAGAGCAGATGAAGAACAGCTGAAGTTTGCCCGTGAAAAAATTGGGTTTTCTCCCTAAAGACTTGTTTTAATCAAGTTTTCTCCAGTTTCCAGCTGGGGTTTAGTAGAACCAGTTGATGGGCTGCTGCATTGAATAGTGTTTAAATTCAAGAGTGAATTAACGATTTTCTGTGATGACCTAATAAAAAATTTTTAGCCTTCACAGCCCCCAACCTTAATATCACACAATAACAATGATGGCGATTGGTCGAAAGGCCGTAAAATATAGGGAGATAGATGACATTTATTAAATATTTACCTTGGAGTAATGCATATCAAGTTACAACATGGCCAAGGCCGGTTGCTCCCTCTGCTCATGTCTAAATACTCGCTAAGTCGTCCATTACCTGGGCAGTGCCCTAACAGGAGATAATCTTGAAGTGGCGATTTTGAATTTATTCGGGGGGCATTTAATAAGGAAAACATTTCGGAGCCAAAATCCCCTTTTGCTTCGACCTTTAACCTTGATAATGTCAGCCGTGGCGTAAACCGCTGGCAGTCTGGTCAGTAAAAGGCCTAGGCCACGCCCCCTTCCTCTTATCAGCGCAAAGACCAGCCAGCACCAGCCAGAGCAGGGAGGCACGAATCTGACCAGTCACGTAGTGTTGGATTTTTGCGATCAGCCTGCTAGAAACGCAGCCCTGCTTTTGCAGGAAGTTGGTTTGTCGTCACGTTTTGTTAGGGTACAAAATCCTCATAAAATATGGGGCGTCACTTATACAGGGGACCAACGGTAGTAGGCCTGGGTAACACTGTGTTGAGTTGCGCTTTTGAGTTGTTGCCGCTCTGAGAGTTAATGAGTTTTAACTCATTGGTTAATGAGTTGGTGAATGGCCGATGACGCAATTTTAACTCCTAACAAAAAAGCGATCAACATATTGCTTTTGCGCATACGATTGTGTGAAACTCTTTGATCTAAAACGGGAAAATCCACAAATTTTTCAGCAGAAAATTCATCCAGAAATTTCAGAGCGATGAGGGTGAGAAGTTTTCCAAATATAGATTATATGCTTTTGCTTTCTCTGGTCGTTTTTTGGAAAAACCTAAGTTTTGTCGAAAAAAGCAAGCTAACTTTGTTTCGATTTTGTTTCAAATTCAAAGGTAAAACGGGTATTCGAAAAAGGCGATGAAGAAGACCAAACTATATAAACGACGACTTTTCTTGTAAAATCCATCTTTTAACTTTTTTGTATAAAAGTCTCTCAGTTTGCCAGTATTTTACAGTACAACGTTAGGAAAAAGCGTGTTGTTCTGTTTAGAGATAATTTTTTTTAGAACCAAATTATTCACAGCGACAAAAGCGACGCTTAAGCGACGTTTTAAGAATAATTGATTATAAACTTTCACTTTTTCTGTTCGGCAAATATTTTGGGAAAAAATCGAGAAAAAAATTATTAGGATTTTGTCCAAAATTCGAAACTGCAAAAAGTTCTAGAAAAATATTTTCGAAACTGTTCAGGAGCCGAGTGTTCCAATAAAATTTATTTTATAATTTTCACAGTAAGTACTTGGTTTTTGAGAAAATCTTAATGATTTTTGGGAAAACGGGAGAAATTTATTGGAAAAAAACGTTGGAAAAAGTTTTTGTAAAATTCTTTCAATGCTATAAATATATCTTGTAATTTTTCGCGTAAAATACATCCAGATCGTCAGTATATTTAAGGAAAACTACAAAATGGAGCGTTTATGAGTAGAAAGCAAAGCAAAAAAACACATTTTTTTTAACCAACTCTACAGTCTTCAGAGGAATGGACGTGACTAGGTTTCCAAATAATTTATTATAAACTTTCGCTTATTTAGTTCGTTTTTTGATTGAAAATTATTCGATTCTTGTCGAAAGTCTAAAGCGACGCAGGAGGCGAGGTTCTAATAAAATGTATTTAATAAATTTTGAAGAAGAAGATTGTCAGTATTTTTAAGTGAATCTTTAGAAACTTGAGCATTTAGCAAAAAGAGTAACTTTGCTAAAACTGGAAAATTCTGAAATTTTGAAGAAATGTTAAAAATATTACTGATAAATTTCCCTTAAAATAAATCTAAAATCAAGTGAAAAAGTCATAAACATTTTCCCAGCAACGACTGAGTTACAGCGCGGGGCATTGGATTGGCGCACCAAACCATTTGCGTTGCACTGCGCCAACTCCCAAAAATATATTGAGTTATCCAGGCCTAATGAGTCGGGCGATGGCGTTTGCTCTAACTTGTGTAAGGACAGAACCTTGCACCCCGCTATGATAAAATTTGTTAGAAATGGTATCTATATAGTTTGCTATATAAACCATACAGGGAGAAATGTTCATTCTTAGTTCAGTGGTATACGGGGAAATAAACCTGCAAAAATTGGCCTTTGGTTAATTTCCTTGATGTTTGCCAACAAATTGAGAGGCTCAGTACCTGCATAGCTGTATGAGAACTGAAACTTTAAACCTCCACAAACCCTCCCAATAACGAAATCTTCTAGCCTGACTCTGAATGGGTGGTAGTTGTTCGGAAAACCCCGTACACAAATCAAAAATAGCTTTTTATCCGTGCAAACAGAGAGTGCATGAAAACGTTAGTTTTTGCCAACCTTGGCTCTGCTTAAGCAACGTTTGCTCAAGGATTTATAGGGTTTTTACGCTTTAAATGAGTGCAGTGTTTAGTAGCGTGTAATTCGCCAAGCCATCAGCATGAGCGCTGAAGAAGTGCGAGAATTGTACGATTTTGCAGTGCCTCGCGTCCTGGCTGCCGGCAAGGTAACATCCACGCCTTTTCTCATCCCCAACTTAGCCCCTTCTGTTTTTTGCGAGTGCAGATTATGTTGGAGGCAAAAGTCATCAAAGGGGAGGAAAAGAACGGTGTAGAATGGGACTGGGTGACCGAATTCGATGGGCAGATCGAGCAGGTGCTCATCGGGCAGATGAGACATCGCTACCCTGAGCACAAGTAAGTAGCGACAGATATCAGAAGCTGCTTGGAATGCTGGGGCAGATTTATAGGAGAAGAGTCGAGTTCGAATGCGGAGCTTACCGATGCCCCCACATGGATAATCGACCCCATTGATGGCACGGAGAATTTCATCCACAAGCTGCGGCTCTCCTGCCTCTCGCTAGGAGTGACCATTGGGAAAGAGCAGGTGTTTGGCATTGTTTTCAACCCCCACATGGATGAACTTTTTACGGCCATTCGAGGAGAGGGCGCTTTTTTAAATGGCGAAAGAATCCACGTGAGCTCTCAGAATGGTGAGTCAGAATGGTCGGTTCTTCTCGTTGCCACCTTGAGGTGCTTTTTTGCAGATTTTCGTCAGTCATTCTTCAACTACGAACTGGGGATGGCCAGGACGAGCGACTACTACTACAACCTCTACATGTTCAGACTGAAGCACCTCATTCCGAAGGTCATGAGGTAAAAAGCTGTTAAGGGATAAAAATTAGCGCTGATGTAAAAAGTGTTTTTTTTAAATAAAGTTTTAGATGTTTGGGGTGCGCCGCTCTAGGCCTATGTTATGTGGCCTGCGGCCGAACCGACGCCTATCAGTGCGATGGGTTGCACATCTGGGACGCAGCAGCAGGGACTTTGATAGTACGAGAGGCGGGCGGCTACGTGGTCGATTCCTCCGGTAAACCGCCCCTGATGATTAAGCCCCTCAATTTAATTCAAACACTAATCAGTGGATTTTAGGTCGAGACTTCGAGCTGGCCAAGCCAAACTTCCTGGCCGCTTCCACCAAGGCTTTAGCCGACCAATACTTGCGCATCGAAAGAGAGGCGGATGAGGAAATGAGTAGGGCTCTTAAGGTCAAAGAGGAGTTTGCTCCCTGAATGCCTTTTCCCAGTTAAACTGTTTTTGCTCAGTTTCACACGGAAGGAACAGCAAACTCGCGAAACAAAAAATGTTTTTGTGTTCCATCCAGTGCCGTACACGAAAGACTCAGGACTCATTTTAAGGAGAATAAATAGCAGCTTGTTCCAAAGAAACATGTTTTTTCTTTTGAAAAAAGGTCATTTGAAAACTCTTACCTCGCGATGATGAGAATGACCCCCACTTTGCGGGTACTGCTGGCCTTGGGGCGGTCCCATGTGATGCGCCATCTGTTGATGGTGGTTCTGTAGCTGCCCATGCGGGACGCCCATGCTTCCATGAGGCTGTGAAATTGGGGGCGGAGCGACTGGAGGCGGTCCCAACCCTGTACAGAACCACAAAGCTGATCAGCCGCCCGCAAAACATTTTGCACCGCCACCCACCTCCCATATGATGAGGCTGCGGGCTCTGGTGGTGGGATGGGGGCGGCATTCCGTACTGGGGCCCCATATGTTGATGGGGCGGGTGCTGGTAGGAGCCGTGCGGACCCGGATTCTGCACGGGGGGACCCATAGGGCTGGGGGCCTGCGGGGGCGGCATGGGGCTAGTCTGGGGCGACCCGCTAGACATCGCGCTCACATTTGCTGAAAAAAAAACACGGTTTTCCGCAACTTTTCCGGCAAAAAACACACGTGACGCCTAAAATATGATGCCCTTATGACACCTGCATGCAAAAACCGGAACAACCAGACAAAGACTAATATAAATACGGCATTTGCATAAAAAATCAATAATTTTTGAGGGTTAAATAAGGTTCTGCTTGGAGCATCCATCGCCTTCCAATGGATCGGGGCATTTAAGGATGCGGGAAATCCAGAGATTGAGGGGTTTGGAGACCTTCGGACGCCCCCCCAAGGGTTTGGGCGGTTGAGTGACAGATCGAGGTCAGCTTTGGCGGCCCGGAAAGAGCCGGGGCTGGGGTGGGAGAGAAAGGGAGAGTATTATGCATGTTTGACCCAAAAACTGACCAGCTCTAATCAACGGCTTTTCAATGATTAAAATCAACTGATCTTACCAGGTGACAACTGAAGGCAAAATCTGGATCTGCTCTGGATCAACAAGAAAAACCTGTCAATTTCCTGTGGAAAAATATGTATTTGATATTGGCCATCATATTTTCCAATCAAAGATGGAATTTTCCTTGTTTATAAATAGGACAGAGTTGCCACAGCGCGCGGGAAATTCTCCTCAATTCCGGAGAGCGAGTCAGCCTCACAGCGGCTTATTAATGGCGAAAATTCTACGGTTTCCAGCGGAGGAGCGCATTTGCCATTCTGTGTCTAACTGCCAAAATTCGAAATTCGAAAAAGTCGAAATGCCAACCGTGTTGTTGCCGAATTTGGGGAAAAACCCTTCACTCTAGCCAAGACACTGGGTAGAAACTTCACGCGGATAGAGCGGGTATCCAGCCAGGTATATGGTGGCTAAAAATTAGCGGCAACCGTGCTTTGAACTCAATGGCATATGTCAACAGGCCGATAATACAGTGACCGCCGTCATCTTTCGTTAGTGGACGCCATAAATGAAATGCTAGATGTTGTTTTTGCATTGTGGATGTTGAATTTGTTATCGAACTTTTATGCTGTGGAATGTTGGTAAGGCGGTCCCGTTATTTCTTTCACTAAGCCCCCATTTGCTCGATTATCCACTAGGCGATTGCCCCATTAGGGATGCGAGATTGTTTACATTTTTCTGATTGAAGAACTCCATTGCATGTCACCTCAGTTGCCTCTGTGGGCTATTTTGGGGTTGCACCTCAAAACCCCTCTGTTTCCAGCCTCTGTTCAACACCATGCTTCCAAGCGCGTTTGTTTTGGTACCTCGATTAACCAACCTTAAATACACGTTCGTTCTATTTCAGTGGCTCCCTATCTGCTTGCAATAGTGGGAATTACTGATTGCGCTTATGGAATTAGTTTCGCCAGTTTCAACTGCTCTTAGCCACGTGATTAAGAACATGCATCCGCAAGGAGCCTCGGCGTCCCTTAGTCAGGCGCCTCACATTCCCCAAGGCTTGGTACGGATCTACTATTTAATACCTACTTTAAAGCTGGATGGGTTCGAATCATAGCCAACAATCTAACATCGTATTCAACTAGCCCTCAAATCTCCAGCGCTATTTATGAAATTCACACCTCAACACGTGTTTTATAGGAACGTTTTTCCATGCGTTATGGACTCTGAAAGTCATTCAGACTAAGGATGTCTCGCATTGGTAATTAACAACCGGTTTTATTCCATTTCAGACAAATATGCATCCAAATACAACTGCAGCGCACAACTATACAAACCAGCACACGTTTTCGTTAAATATAACGTCGACGACAACGGGACCTTTCAGTCAAAGTCAGGAGCAAGCCCCTGCTAGCAACCACCCGGTAGCCAATCCAGGGGGCGGCCAAACCTTTATCCAGAAGAGCAATAATGTGAGTGGGACCACTAGCACAAGCCCCGCCCCGGTTCCTGTTGAAGCGTCCGTTGAGATGCCTCTTCCAGAGAAGTCCCAATCGAATGGTACGTCTGAAGATGGTCCACCTCAGCTTGGGCTTCTAACAGGCAATTCAGTAGCGGCGAAGGATAAACCCACAGCCTCCGAGGTACATTTATTGGTTAGCTGTAGGTGCTGAAATTGAGCTGTATTTTTGTTGGTTTTTGTAGAGCTTGTCGGAACCTCCAGCTGCTGAGGCGAAGGCTGACGCACCCATTCAGGTAATTCCTGATAAACCTGAGCCAGTTGAGGATGAATCATCTTCCAAGGTAAGTTGAGTGGCGGCGCCCAAACCTACAGATTTAACTTAAAGCCTTCCACAGCTGGACCCAGAGACTGAGCCCAAGGATACGCATATTGAAAACGAGGAAAAATCAGAGCCTTCGCCGAAGGTAGATAGACGTAATTTTTGCCAGCAATCTCGAATCCAATTTGTTGGTGAATTTCAGGCAGCAAAGCAGGTAGAAGAGGCACAAGTCCAGACCAAATCAGAGCCCGACTGTATAAAAGACATTGCAGCCACTCCCGAAACTGATCCCTTGAAAACTCCCATTGAAGTAAATTTCCGCATTTTGTTGCCGTTACGTAGTACCTACAGAGAGTTGTTTTCAGGTGGCAAATCAACAAACTCCGAAACCTCAAGTTGTTAAATCCTCGAGGAAAGTAAAGGCTCCTCAAGATGAACCAAAGGCCGGCACAAGTATGAGCACGGCAACGGCGCAAACCACAGCAAAACGACAGCGACTTCGGACCCAGCACTATCAAAGCCCCCTGCCAGAGGTGGAGTTTGTGTCGAAAATCAGCACCAGCACTGCGAAGAGCAACGACGAGAAGCTGATGGTGTTTTACAAGTAAGTTGCACAGTGAAGGCGGAAACGTCGCGCTAACGCAGTCATTTACAGAAGCGAGTTCTTGGCAGTGCGGAATGCCGAAGGCGGCTTTTACCTTTGCCAGACGGTCCAAAACATCTACAAAACCTCGTCGAAAATCAAAATCCGTTGGTTGTCGCAAACCAAGAGCGACGACAAAGGAGAAGAGTACACCCCCGACTTTTATGACTTAATTGGTAGATAAGTGCAAGTGAAAACTTGGAAAGTGGTTCTAAATGTGTTCTTGCAGATTTCGACTGCATATTAACCAACCTCAGTCTGAACAAAGCGGATAAGGGCAAGTTCATTCTGCCCACTTCCGAAAAGACACGGACTCAGAGCATACTGAACCGATCTCTGGCGGTGGAAAAGGGCGAAGAAATTGCCGCCCCATCTCTAACGGCCGAGCATCCCGACGGACGTAAGTATGCAGCGTGTATTAACGACAATGACCCAAATGCGGTATTATTTAGGTTTTTGCTAAAAATTGCAAAATGTCCTCCCATTTTAAGACAATCTGAGTGTTTTTCATCCAGTGTTTGCATTGCAGTGGACCTCTCGCTGTACCGAGATGAAGATCAGTTGAAGAAGCGAAAGTCGCGAAAACGACCTCGGAAGGCCTCCCCAGCCGCCCCCCAGAAAGAACTGACTTCCAAGAAGACACCTAAGGCGGCCAAAGTGAAAAAGCCAAACCCTTTGCCCAAACGAACAGTTCCGGCCGCCAAAACCGCAACAGCCTCAAGCTCAAAAGCAGTCGCACCGGTTTCCAAGCCAGCCAGGTAGCGTTGAATTGATCGATGAGTGGTTTGAAGCATTGCATTTTGTGCCGTTTATAGCAAGATCTCCAGCAAAGCAGCCACTAAAGCTTCGGTCAAGTCCAATCCAGTGGTGGACCAGAAAAAGGCCAAAATGATAGCGCGGATAGGGCGAAAAGCTGCGTTGGCAGCGGCGTCAAAATCTTCTACCAAAAGCACGTCGCCCAAAAGTAAGCAGGGTTTTTTGTATAGCTGCATGTTACTGTGTGTTGGTGAGTAGACGGGATCACCACTAGTGATGGAAATAATTTGCTTATAAACATCCCACGAGTTGGTTTCACTTTCCCATTCGCGTGGTGGGTGAAGCGGAGATTTCGATGCGATTATTCCCATCGCTTACAAGGGCAATTGTTGTGTGTGAGTGTTTTGTTGCCCGATTCTTGGATTATTGCAGGTGATCCCATAAATAGCGTTGTGTGTTATACTAACCCAGTTAACAGAAATTTTCGAAATTTTTTAGGTGTTTTACTAAGAAAAGTGTTTTTTTAGATGGAAAATCGGGCAAAAAGACTGCGGCCGCTCCGAATAAAGCAGCCCAACCCAAAACGAGCCTGTCGGCTAAAACTACGACCCGAAGTCTGCGAAAATCCACTCGCAAATAAATCTAAGAGAAGTGGCAATATTATTGGAGATGTGAGCGTTGCCGCTTCGCTCTGTACATTTTGTGTTTCGGTATATTCTATGCTGGTTTGCTGCAACCGTTAGCCAACCAGTTCATTGGTTGGTTGATTGTAGTCAAACTTATGTTGTTTCATTGTTCGGATTGGAATCCAATCTTGCCCAAACTCCAGCACGGACCAAAACTGACTACACAAAATTAATGGTGTGCTTGCCAGATTCGCTTAGGGGGCTACTGACATGTGAACAGCCACATATTGCTCAATTTCTTGACCATGTTTCCACTTAAAGAGTTTATTGAATTATCGAGAAGCAAGGGAGATTTCGATCGATTGATCCTAAGCCACTTTGGCAAGCGCTCGAATTGGCCAATCAGCCAATAAGTTAAGTATTATATAATTTGTAAACTTCCGTTCTCTCAACGTCATTTCTCATCCCCAGCTTTATACACTAATTGAACTTATAAATAATAATAAATACTACAAGGGTGGAGTGTGTTTCTAAATGTAAATAATTAACTTAAGTGCAGTGTTTGTTAGTGAGGATCAAATGCAATTTGGAAGCATTTTAAATCCTGTGTCTAGTGCAAAGAAACAAATTAAGAGTAAAAGTCGGTTTATTAAGATTATCGTTGGATTCAGACAATTGTATATCCTGTTTAGTTCCGGTAAGGTAATTTGTAAGACGTATTTTGTACTTCCTAGCTCCTAACAACATCCATGTCAGCACTTAAAATAATAAATATTTTCAATTATGTGAGACTGGGGGGTTTTGAACCAAACGTTGTGTTGTTCGTTCAGCAATAAATTCTATATTTTCAATTCCATGCCAACATTTCCATAATCAAGTCTTAACAAGTTAAATCCTAAGTAAATCTGCGCCGCCTAAACTAAACTAAACCGTAACAATATCGTAAACTTAGAAAATGTTAACTGATGACTAGAATCACTTCCTTGCGCAATATCGGCGTTCCAACGAGAATTGGTCCGGATAAATTTCTTAAATGCTTTAACACGTTTTACTTACATATCGATTAATATTTGGGTAAATAGGTAATATGGCAAGCTTGAGAGGACAGTTCATGCATTACATAGTGCTAATTAACATTAGTCTACTCTAATTAACTTAACTGGAATGTCTTAGTCGTCTCCCATCAGGCGAATGCTGTCTTCGGCTGACGTCCTGAGGGAGTTGGGGGTCAGTAATGAGAACCTATCGTGGTAGTAGTGAGCTTTGAAGGATTTGAGCGAGCTATCGCTCCCGTCGCTCCAGCTCGAGTGCTTTGGCTTCAAGTCCATGGCTTTGTCTTTGGGGTGCTGAAAACAATTCCACTCATTCCCAACTGTGCCTCTCCCAAAAAACGCCATACTTACGCTGACTTCCACTTGGGCGCTCTCCTCTCTTCCACAGGGAAACGCAAAGCGCTGCCAATGAGTGGGAGGAGGGCTGCGAATCATGTGCTCATGAACCTCAGGCAGCGATAGCGGATCCGCTTCCAAGTCCAGCGACAGCTCCTGAAACCCCATAGCTACAAACGGTCCTTTGCAACACTTAAACCGCGTTACCTTGGACATTAAGGAGGCGTTGTCTGACTCCTCCTCCAGACTGGAGTCTAGCAGACTCTCCCTGCTGGCTATCACCCTCTAAAGAAGCCAAAATTTTCGTATGAACGCCAGGGAACTTTAACTTTTTAACTGACCTGGACAAAAGGGTTGTCCTGTCGGGACGCCCGCAAGTGTTCCATATCCAGCTCAATGTTCCGAATCCTACCAGGAGTGAGCGTTAGAGTGGAGGCTGCGGGCGAAGTGGGGCAACTCACTGGCAGGCTCAGGTAATAGTCGACATCAGAAACGCTCAGCGCTGACCTGGCCCGGCCAATGTCTGAAGCAAACCACCAAGTTAATTCACAAAGGATAGGGATTAGAGTAGTTTGAGATAAGATCTTGGGATGTTGGATGAGCCACTTGATGGTTTGCCCTAGTTGGACTCCCAGTGCGATTACCTTTGGCTTTTTTGTGCTTAATCCTGTCCATAGTGGGTGGTTTAATTCATTTCGGGACCTGCAGGAGCAAACATTCCCGAAATTTGCCTAAAAACTACGAAAATTCGATAATTAACCTTTCATTTGTAATGTTTTGACTGAAGGCAGTAGTCTGTGGAAGGCAGGGGTGCCATCACTTTACTGAGTCACCGTCACATTTCTTTTGCCCAACAAATTTATTATTATTGATAATTAGTTAATTATAATTAACAACATTGTTGAGAAACTGCAGCTAATTGCCACAAACCCAGCCAAATGCTTGGATTTTCCTCAACTAATGGTTTGGTGTTAATGGGAAGTACTGGCCGCCATTGTGAGGCCAGTTGAGGGGCAGCTCATTCCAGTTAATTCAATTAATTATTATTTTAAACAACTTGTTGAAAATTAGGGAAAAGCACTCTGCGAAATCCGGAAAGATTGGCGAGCCCTAATTGGATAATTTGGTTAGAGTCCATTTCATCCAGCCATGCAGAGTCCCGCTGTTCCAGCTAATGGGCGCCAGCTATATAAGTCCTGTGGGACTTCCACAAGACCAACTCTTCGCTGAATCCTGCTAGCTTCCAGACCAACAGTGAGTATATTTAAATTTATTAATTAATTCGAGTTAGAGCGTTTACGTAATTAAAATCCAGTACCTAAGTGGACCTGCATGCAGTAGTCAATGTCAGGATCAGCATCCAAGGCTGAGAACCGGAATGGAAATCCGAATAATTAACGAAATATCTTGTGTTTATCATTTGCCGGAATGTTGGTTTAGTTCCGGGTTGCTTTCACTCCGGGGCCGCCTAAAATCAGTCGAATTTAACCGAGAAAAAACGTTAGAATAGGCGGAAAAGTGCAGTTTTTTGCGTTTTTCTGTTTGCAAAAGCGGCGTTTTAAGCATAAAGTTTTCCGATTCAAAGTTTCACTGTGGTGTTAAGCTGATTGCATAATTGATTTTCAGAACGGTTTTAGCCCTCCAAATGACCTTTAATGCTTGATTTTGCTTTCAAATTGCTGATAACTTTCGAATCTTCCCAGCAACTTCCTACATGAAAGCGCCAATTAATTCAGTTTAAAATGGCACGTTAGAGTTAGAAATGATCAATTTTGATTGAACCATTTTCGGAAAATATGTGGATTTTACGCAAAACCACGACATGTTCTGGTTGAATATCGAAATTTCAATCGTTTTAAAGTGCATTTTCTGGAATAGAAGTGGAAAATCCCCTTTAGTTATTTGGTGCTTGCAAAGTGAATAACTTTCCGATTGCTGGCGCATTTTCCTAGTAGAAAAGTTTCTTTGAATTTCCATTTAATTAGCTTTAAAATGGAATGTGGAAGTTAAAAATTGCCAGTTGATTCAGCAATTTCAGCAAATATTTAGGCGATCCTACCGAGGTCGATACCTAACAACGATAGTTTCTTCTTAAAACATCAAAGCCAATGCGGATTGAAGCCTCGAATGAAACCAACTCTGAAATGAATTTAAGCACGATGAAACAAAGATGACTCTTGAAAAAGTGTTTTAAGAAGCAGCCACTGACTCCTGACCTGATTCATGCGCTTGTTCGCTGCTGCCGGTATAAGGAAATCGGACTTCAGCTTCCAATAATAATAGAAATACGGAAATCGGAATCAGAAGACCAACCGGCATCCGGTTTTGGGCGGCCTTCGGCCACGCACCAGTCTAATGCTCCGAAGGAAATAGACGTTTATCTCCGATATCGGTTTGTTGGAGTTTGGCGCATTTTCAGTTTCTGTTTCCGCTTTAAATGACCAAAGGGTAGGTTGAGTGGAAAAAGGCGCTGAACAGACATCGCCTGAAGAGCTGCGTCCTCAACTAGAATGTTGACCAATCAGAGCGACAAAACCAGGTGAAAAAAACGCAGGGAAGTCCATGGCCAGTCCGAGCCTGCCCAGTCAATTTCTTTGTCTTAAAATGGTTTAAAAAGTTGATTGCAAATCACTTGCTAGTTATTTTACACGTGTCTGCACGTAGACGCATTACACGTATTAGCTAGAGGAAACTGAAGCGTTTTTCTGTTGAAGATGGCCGAATACCAACGCATCACCCTCAGGATCTTGATGGTCGTTGTTCTGGCCGCCAGTTGCATCGACGCCAATCTTATAGGTGAGTCCAACCATTCTTCCATCGTCAAGCAGTGAAAACCTCCCGGTCTCAGGGGTGTGCATCAGGAACTGTGCCCAGTGCAAGAAAATGTTTGGGCGCTACTTCGAAGGCCAGCTCTGTGCAGACGCATGTGTGAAGTTCAAAGGAAAAATCATTCCAGACTGTGAGGATTTCGCCTCCATTGCGCCCTTCCTCAGCAAGTTCGACAACTACTAGGCCTGGAGTAGGCAAAGATCTCCGCCTCCGTTTAATCTGCTTGCCATTCATATTTTATGGCTTCCGACCACGGATAGTCTGAGGACCGATCAGCGCAATAGGACTGAGTGGATCCACAGAGTTTTTGTAACGAATTTTCGATAATAAAGCCTCCTGCATTAGCTACGTGTGTTATTTGCCTCCTAATTAGAGGATTTGGATGGGAAAAAGCTATTTAAAAAAACTCGCTATCGCCAGTGCTTCAGTCATTCCCCAGTACCTAGATGTTAACCATTACATATTTTTGTGCAGAAAACCATAAATCTCTAAATAGATAAAGAAAAAATCCACTACTAAAAAAGGATTATTATTATCAAAGTAAAGTGCTTAGTCCTGGCAGAAGCAGCCGTCTTTCGTGTTCTCCAGAATCCAGTCCAAATATCGCGTCACTCTAGTGTAAACCCCCGGATAACCAGGACGGGCGCAGCCGTTTCCCCATGAAACTATTCCTGCAAGCAACGTTTCCTTTCAACGCCCACAGTCATCATCAAGGGCACTTACCGATCAGCTCGTAGCGCTTGTCGTCGCGCTGCACTACCAGCGGCCCGCCACTGTCGCCCTGCGAATAATTTATCAAATATGCTCAAACCAGCAACTACTTCACTCCTGCACCCACCTGGCAGGAGTCCTTTTGTCCCACTTTCGGATATCCTGCGCACAGCATATTGTCGGAAATCATCTTAGCCGAATAGTTTGTCTTGCGACAATCTTCGTTGCTCAGAACGGGCACATCCACTTCTTGTAGAACGCACGATGGCTTTCCATCTTCCTTTAGTGTTCCCCAGCCTGCGGCTGTCGCCACTTCGCCCACATAGACCTCATCTGGAAGAGCGCAGATTTGCCGACGACACTGCCATCACCGCGCAAAACTCACCTTTTTTCTTCGGCAGGCACACCGGTTTGATGTGCTGCGTGATGGGCACTCGATCGTTAAGGCGCAGCAGCGCAATGTCATTGTCAAAGTTCAAAAAACTGAACGCTCCAGCTACAGCTCTGAGCACGAATCGAGACTCGGGGCGTTTCGTGTCGTTGCATCGGTCGTGTTCGCCCAACGTCACCTTAATCATGAACCACATGAAGCTGAAACGTTAACCAATCAGCGTGTGGCGATGTTGTCGGCCTGGGCGGGTTTACTCACCCTTTGACGCAGTGGGCGGCCGTCAACACGTAGCGATCATTAATCAGCATGCCGCCGCAGTAAAACCGGTTGAAATATGACAACCGTGCCATCCAAGGAAACTCGTTTTCCTGCGTCGGTTTTCCACCGACTATTCGGCTGTTTTCGTTCCGTTCGCCGCAAGCTGCCAAACGACAACGAACTGAATTGATTATGGATTTAATGCGGTCAGATACAGTTAAATATGAGTAAACGGGGTGCTGTGACCAAACAGCTGAATTGCATTTGTTGCCCAAAAATTTACCAGAGCGTGGGCAATCTGATGAAATCTCCACAACCGAAACAAACTAGTGTCGATTTCTATGTGGCAGAAAAACCAGTGGCATTTGCATATATGCAAATTTGCGCTAAACATAACAAAAAAAAGAGGAAACTCACTGCAGTGACAGGAGGAGGGCGGGGTGTCATGGCTGGGTGGGGGTTGATTTTTCGAGTTTCCGAACCACTTAGCTATCGGCCCCACTCCGGAGGCGAAGCCCTAGAAACGAACACTGTTTTAAACCCTTTCAAACATTTGACGCGGAAAACTCACTATGGAACCATTCGGAGCTACCAAAGCGACCAGAAGGGCCGCACAAACTGCACTGAAAACACGCATTTTTAATGGAAAAGCGAGGATTTTCCGTCTTGGAGTGTCGATCAATCGATCAACGAATCATTGAACCTCGCGATGGTACCGTCGCGTTCTGGCTAACTGTTTATCCGTCAACACGACGAAGAATCGGCCGGGTTTTCTTTGCACTGGTTCTGTGTGCTTTTCGGTGACATGGTTGGCCGTGAACCAGCCGCGGTTCTTAATCAGGTTTGGGTGCCGATATGCGCTTAATTGGTTCCGATGGACGGCATTGTTCTAATGAAACCGGGTTTTGCTGGAAACTTTATGCAGGACCCGTCTTAGTTCTTGCCAAACAATGGAAATGAGTGCAAACTGCTGGCGATTGTTCTGGTTGGATTCAGTCCATTTTCTCGAAAACCAGCAAGAAAGTGAATTTGAAAACAAATGCCTCGGGTCCTTTTGAGTGTGCCAAATGGGAATTTAAATTTAAAAAAATTAAAACCAAAGCGAATGGGGACTTGCAGTATCTGCGACTTATAAAAGCCACTTGAATGAACACTTGCTGAAATTTTGAAGCAGATCGAAGCGGAGGCTGATTTTGAACTTGGAACAACTGTTTGTCGGGCAATGCTGGTAAAATTCATTAGGTTTCTAAAATATTCCTTAATCGAACGAAAGCGAATTTGGACATGCAATCTCTACGACTAATAAACGACACTTTAGTGAACAAACTTATTCTTATACTTGAAGTTCAAGTAGGCCTGGATAACTCAATAATTTTTTAGGAGTTGGCGCAGTGCAACGCAATGGCTCTGTGCACCAACCCAACGCACCGGCACAGTAACTCAGTTCCGTTGCTGGGAAAATGTTGATGATTCTTTCACTTTTCAGATTTATTTTAAGGGCCATTTATCATATATTAATAATAAGTAAGTTTTTCAGTAATATTTTCTGCAATCAGTTTCTTCAAAATTTCAGAATTTTCCAGTTTTAGCAAGGATACTCTTTTTCTAAATGCTCAATTTTCTAAAAATTGACTTAAAAATACTGACAATCTTAAGGTATTTTTCGCCAAAAGTTATGAATTAAATTTATTAGAACCAGCACCTCTTTCGTCGCTTTGCCAAAAGTTTTGAAATCCCTTTCCAGCTTCGAATTTGGGACCAAATAATTTTCTATCAATAAACGAACTGAATAAACAAAAATTTATAATAAATTATTTGGAAAAATTGTCAATTCCATTCCTCTGAAGACTGTAGAGTTTGTTAAAAAAATGAGGTTTTTTAGTTTTGACTGAAAATTTGTTTGCTTTGCTTTCTACTCAAAAACGCTTTATTTTATTTTTTTTTTGAGTTTTACTTAAAAATATTGACGATCTGGAATATGAAATGAACAGAACAAGTGAAAGTTTATTATCAATTATTCGGAAAACTCGTCACTTTTGTCGCTGTGAATAATTTGGTTTATTTAAATTCCGGTTTCTTCACTTTTATTTCAATATTTCTAAGCAAAACAAAACAACGCGTTTTCTCCTAATGTTTTACTGTAAAATACTGGCAAACTGAGAATATTTTATGCAAAAAAGTTAAAAGATGAATTTACAAGAAAATTCGTTGCCTTTACAGTTTGGTCTGCTTTATCGTGTTTTTCGAATACCCGTTTTACCTTTGAATTTGGGACAAAATCGAAACAACGTTATCTTATTTTTTTCAATAAAATTTTGGTATTCGCAAAAAACGATTAGCCAAAGCAAAAGCATATAATCAATATTTGGAAACCTCGTCACCCTCATCGCTCTGAAATTTCTCCGAGATCTCTGGATTTTCCTGTTTTAGACCAAATGGTTTCAAGCAAACGTGTACCCAAAAACAATATGTTGATGGCTTTTTTGTTAGGGGTTAAAATTCCATCATCGGCCATGAGTTTTAGCTCATTAACTCTCAGAGCGGCAACAACTCAAAAGCGCAACTGAACTTCTTAAGCCTAAAGTTACCCAAGCCTAAAGTTCAAGCGAATTGAAACGTTGAAGAGGGTCGATTTTTTTTCGAACGTTAGCATCAGCTTTGGAATCAGTGAATTCGTACTAACTTTTTTGAACTCCACAGTGGCGTGCCCGCAATCTTTCGATCGCTTTCACATTCACGCACTTTTTTGCAGACATTTTCCGGAAAATTTTCAGTCGTGGCCGCATAGGAAAAAAAATGATTTGCGTGATTTTTGCTACGGCCGATAAGCATACGTTTTTTCGGTAGAAAACTTCACATTTTATTTTCGACTTCGACTGAAAAAATAATCCTTTCTATACTATACAGGGTGATTCACGGTCGATGGCGTATTAGATGGAGAATACGATGCCCGATCTATCTGCAAATTTGTACAACGAAGTCATCAGATATGCTCTATCGGCCTAAAATATTTTCAGCAATGCGAGGGTGTCCCTTATGCCGAAAAGTACATACAACTTTGATATTTTAAATGAGACACCCTGTATATTATTGCATGGTTAGATTGACCATATAGATATGATTATTTTTGCATAACGATTCGTATATCTATCTAAAGCGGTTTCCGAAATATTAAATAAAATTCATTATTTTTAATCGAAACGTAGCCCCAAGGTATTTTTGTAATCTGTAATCTGTACTTGTATGTATATTACAAAGCGATATTGAAACCTGGAAATTTAAAATTTTAGTGCTGGGTTAGGAAAACCGTATGCTTGAGCCCGGCGTACAGCAATTTGTTCCAAATTATACAGGATGTATTGAAAATACTGACCTTTTGTTTAGAGATAAAAATTGCTCCAATTACATTTTTTCTAATAGAACACCCTGAATATTAGTTCAAATACGGCAAGACCGTTAAATTCCCTGTGAAACGATATATCATGTTTCTATACCTAAAGTGTCAAATTTCCGAAATAAATGGACAATTTTGCAAAAATTTTAATATGTCGACGTATTTATCAAAATAGCCATGAAATGTCATAAAATGTAGTTGAGGATTTTGCAATTCTTCAAACCAGCTTAGTTATAAATACAGCTTCTGTACGCTTTTTATACAAAATGGAGAGAAAACATTATTCAAACGAAGTTTTAATGAACCTATTTATTCTTCACGGACAATGTGACCAAATTGTTGCAAGGACATGCAGAAAATTTAACGAAGTGTTTCCTAATTTAAAACAAATGAATGTAAAGAAGTTTGTGCGAATATAAGACAATTTAATTATTTACGACATAAAACTGGATTGAAACACGTTTCATTAGTTACATAAGCAAACGCCTAACTGAGAATTAAAAAAAGGTGCCTAATAAATATTTTTAAACTATTCACAATAAATTTTCGAAGTGACGGCCATTGCGTTCCAAGCATTTCAAAATTCGTACAGAGTGGTTTGTTGCTCTCTGTATCTCATTAACATCCAGTTCTCCAATGCAGTTGTGAAAACCGACTAACGAGAATTTCTCTAATTTCATAGGCATCAAAAGACTGATTTACCACTACTTGAACCTGACTCGAAAGCTAGATCCGCCCCTGCACTAATAGTGTTTAATGAATTACCAGAGAAGCTCCCGAAGCAACTTGCATACCTTTGAGGTAAGTGAAACACTAAAAATAGCAAAACCTTGGTGATATATTGAAAAACTTGCACAAAGTCAGCCCAATTACTGGGCAGCAATATTGGACTATAGCCATTGCATGGCTGCGTAAAAGGCAGTCGCCCGGACCTTCAGGTTGCTCACTCACTCCATTAGCAAGCTTTTGGTTCGCAACTAAATACTCGTTAAATCTGCTTCGGAAGAATTCATCTATCACCTTGAGCGTCCCCAGAGTGTAGAAGCACATAAAGCACAAGAACAGCAAGCTGCGTAATAAAGAGAACATCCTCCAACGGGTTTTATTGAGTTGTGAAGTCCAAATAGATGTAGTAAGCGGCGTCAAGGACTTGCTTCATCTGCGGCCAGCACACAAGCACAAAGCAAAGCAGCGTGTTGATAAAGACAAAGAGTTTGAGGTTCTCCAAACCCTCCTCAGAGCTGAGCCACCGGGAGAACGTCCCTCGTTCCACTACTTCTTGCTCCGTTTGGTTGYTTAGCTGCGATTTAYTGTTMGTTTGCTTCTTCATGACGATCAACTRRRCAAACTGAARCCCAAACGMSTTGGAGTGAACTCAATTGAATTAGTCAAAGATTTAAGCGCTTTATTAGATTGACTCCCAGTCCGGTTCGATAACATAATCTTTTTTCAAAGGCACCTTGGCCTTTTGCTTCAAGCTCCAAGGCGGTCTTTTCAAAGGAATCGAGCTGCCACTGGGTAGGATGCCGGTGATGTACAGGAAGTACAAGGTTTGGGCCGCAAACCAGACGATCAGCTTCAATGTGGCCCAGTTATGTACTTTTTTGCGTGGCGGCCAGCAAACAATCACACCTGCGAGAGATGATGGCTGGTTGAATTGCTATCGAAACTTTGCAGCTACATTGACGGTTACCTTTGGACTGATCCTGTGGATTTCGTTCGCAGGATATCGGCATCGACACTTTTTCATAGCGATGTTCCATATTTCGCAGATTCAACGTGGATCCACCGTTAATGTTGGTCACAGACGCACAACTTCCGTTGTAAAATTGGGTTTTCACATACTTAAAATTGCCCGAACTCACACTCTTGCCCCTGAATATGTCGAGAAAGCTTGGTAGACGTTTAGGGCCTGTTTGGCTCGGGTCATCGTCAGAACGGCTCATTTTCCGCGCTTTAAGAGGCCACATGGGAATCTACTGGGGGATTTGGACACTTGAGATTTTATTTGAGCGACAGGAATGTTTGCTGGTGGTAATGAAACGAAGTGCTTGATGGAATTAAATATTTTTATATCTTTCTCGCCTCTTTGGCTCGCTCAATAATTCGGGAAACAAAAACATAACGTTCAGCTAAACAACCAGGCCAAGGAACAAACAGTTTATGATTTCGTGCACAAACAACAAAAGAAAATCAACTGGAAAAACCCATATGGGGCCTTATCGATGTTGAGGTAGCACTCGACTGGCGCCAGATTAACACTCATAATTTAGTGAAATTTTATACTCTCATTTGCCCTAATTTATTATATTGTAACGGGAATGGCCTGGGGTACTCACGTTTGGAATGGGGGGATCGAAATTCATGGTATTTCAGTAAGTGGGAGCCCCATTTGGGCCCCATTTCCTGACAAATATGACACTGACAAGCGGGAAGTTTCGCGCCTGTTCTGGAGATTTCGAGAACCCTCTGGGTTACCTGAAGAAATCTATATAAGCGACGACGAGAACCAGACCAGGGGGAGCGGCAAGAAGACTCGGTGAGACAATCCTGCAAGCACACGCCAGAAGTTCGGTGACTGCGGAGGTACTGGTAGCCCGTGAGGAACTACCAGCAAACCTTCGCAGGAAAATCACCAACCAGAGGAGGCTGCGCAGGATGTACAGAAAGCAGCCCACAGAAGAAAACAGGATCGCCTTGAACCATCAGGTCCAGATCCTGAAGGAAGCCCTCAGGGACCACCGAAACCAGAGATGGGAAGGTCGCATCCGGGAAATAGGGCCAGAAGACCAAAGTATTTGGAGAATCCAAAAGGCTCTCCGACAGGAAGACACGAAGATACCAGTTTTACACGGAGTGCAAGGTCTGGTATATACTAACGGTGATAAAGCTGACACTTTTGCAGATACGATCGAGAGAGAGGCCAGGGAGAACACTCACCCAGATGAAGACGACGAGCACGAAACTGCTGTCAGACGAGCCGTTCGGAAACTCCGGGCAAAAGAGGTGAACAGTTGCATCTCGCCAACCTCACCAGGCGAAGTGGCAGATATCATCAGGCACTCAAGGACGATGAAGGCCCCTGGAAGAGACGGAATCACCAACAAGATACTTAAGAACCTGCCGAGAAAGAGGCTGGTAGCTGTAACAAAGCTCATTAATGCCATTTTCAGAACTGGACACTTCCTACGCATCTGGAAACGCTCAGATGTCATTATTCTCCCGAAGCCCAAGAAGAACAGGACTTTCCCTCAGAACTACAGGCCCATCACTCTGTTGTCCAGCCTTGCCAAGATAGCGGAAAGAGTTATCTTGCGTAGGCTTACGAGGGAAACGAGAAAGCCTGACGTTCTGCCGACTGAGCAGTTTGAGTTCCGTGGTAAACACTCCACTGAACTTCAGCTGCTCAGGATTATGGAAGGGTGCGCCAAGGAGATGAACCAAAAGAGGACAACTGGCATCCTAGCGCTGGACGTCGAAAGAGCTTTCAACAGAGTGTGGAGACAGGGACTCATCTATAAAATGATGGAAACAGGTATTAGTGAGAAAATGTGCCAGTTAATTGACAGTTACATTTGCAGAAGGACATTCATACCTACCTGAGACAGCTTCAGGTCACAGAAAATAAACTTCTGCGGATGGCCATCGATACTCCCTGGTTTGTACGTAATAGTCAAATTTATAGGGACCTGGAGTGAGAGCCACTGAGATCTTTTCTGCAACGGCAAGCTGCCTCGACCTTTCAAAAAGCCGAAAACCACCCCTTTCTTGAGCTACGAAATGCCGTATATTACGCACCAGAGGATGATGGGCGCAGGAAAAAGAGGCCCAGGCACCAGATGGCCCAACAGGGCAATAGGTAAAGCAGTTAACTGCAAAGCGCTGTAAGTGTGAAAAAATAGTGTGACAGAAGTAGTGTTGTGTAGTGCTTGTGTTAAATTAGTAAGCTGCCCATACTAGCAGATAGCAAGCAAGTTTTAAAGGATAACTCCCGAAAACTTGAAGTTTTCAGAGAGGAAAAACGGGGGTTTTTAGTTGGTAGAAATCCAACACTACCCAGTGTCACGGAACACTGGGATTAATTTTTATCCTCCAGCCGCTGCTGGGCAAACCAAAAAGATCTCCTGCCAATGATGGGCGGATCCAGGGGGGGGGGGTCATAGAGTCATGACCTCCCCTTGCGCTGGGTTCATGTCGACTAACGGTAATTTTTCTAGTTTCATAATCAACAAAAGGCTGAATTTCTACTACTTGACCC